AATATTTTGAGCGCCGCTTGTACAGTATTGTTGCTGTAATTCCTCTCTATCCTCGTCTTTGAGGCATTCTTTTCCTTCCTTGGGTAGCCGACGAGCTCAACCGCTGCCATCTCATCTCCACCTCCTGGACTCGCGTGTCTCATCGGACCGGCACTACAGGTCCGCCCCGTCACCGCCCTGGCTTTACCTGCCTCGACCGTCTTTCCAAAACCCATCCCCTCTCCCACCACCATCACCCTCTGGACCTGCCTACTTTGGCACTCACGTCTGGGAAGGCGCAAAAGGGCTCTTTCCGCCACTTGGGATCTCATCGAAGAGAATTAATCAGGCACCACTCACGGTTCGACCTTCTTCTGTTCGTACAGCGCAGAACATCGCGCAACGTAGGCGACTCGTCGACAACGTAGACGTCACCGGTCCAAGCTCGCCACCTTCGTCACGGCCAACTCTTGCGCCCCATCTAGCCACCACATCATCCCGAAGGAGGAAAAAAAGGGATCCGCCACCACATCTAGACCAACCTCACCATTGCCTCACCCTAAAGTCATCGCCAATATGGACTAATTTAATGTGGCCAACTCTGACCCGTTGCTTGACCGCGTAGACGAAAGCTCTGGCCTCTCCTCGACGTACTTACTTACCCCTTACCGCATACTATGACCGAGTCCAAGACCGGCGAAAGGACGCCTGTCCACTACGCGATGAAAACCCCGTCAACAACAAGACCATCAGGAGCGCCACGGTCCTCCCATGGTCGTGCTCACTCCCGCTCCAACTCCCACGCCAAACGATCTTCTCATGGCTCCAAGGCCTCTACTCCCGTCGCTTCTCCAAGGATGCCATTTTCTGTTGGCCAAGCCTATCCTCCTCCGCCGAGGCTCTCTCCCGGCAGAATTGCAGATGTGCGAGCTACGAGTCCCAATTACTTTGGCTGGCGCCCTGCCGAGTCGTCCAACGACGGGAGGACAGCTCACTCCTGCCTCGCGATAACTGGAGCCCCCCTACCTCTTCGGTAAGTCTTTCACTGCCGCCCTCCCAAGACAGGTTACCATCGACGCGAACCCAGACTAGGAGGCCTTTAGAAGGCAGGCCGATCTGAACCGCGGCGAAAGCTTCTTCAACCTATCATCCTCGCATTTTGGCGCACCGTCCACACCAGGCGACGCCGGTCCTGCTGCTGCTCCTGCTCGCCCTCGTCCTCCTCCCAGATGGCATACTCACGCTAGCGATAGCATATCAGAAACACCAGCAAGCCGTACGACAAGAGAACGACCTGCAAGCCGTATGGATGTCGATCAGGCCAGCTCTCACGATTCAGCCTACGTGTCGTCCGATTCTAGACCGGACGTGGAATCATCAGTTCAGCCTGCTTCAATCTTGGGCATGCCCAGATCCGAATCTCCACGGCAATCTGCATCCTCTTTCGAACGGAGGACGATGTTGTCCTCTGTTGAGGATCGCCACCCGAGACTGTCCATACCGAACAGCAGGCCAGACCCGCCAACACCATCTGTACTGGGCAGATCGCACCAGCGAGCCGAGACATTGCCTGCCGACATGGAGCATGGCCCATCTCTGATCAGTCCCTCGCATCTCAAGTCGCTGTTGGAATCGCAGACTAGAGACACTGACCTGCTGTTGCTGGACTTGAGAGTGTCTCAACAATATTTGCATGCGCGAGTAAAGAGTGCTCTCAATCTTTGCACGCCTACTACTTTGTTAAAGCGACCGACCTTTAATCTGACGAAGCTCCAACAAACGTTTCAGAATCCCGAAGACAAAGAGCAGTTTACGAAGTGGGCGTCCACGCAAAACCTAGTCGTGTACGACTCGCACTCCTCAGAAAAGCGCGACGCCATGTCTTGCGTCAATATGGTCAAGAAGTTCGTCGCCGAAGGCTACCAAGGTGGCATGTTCATCTTGCGAGGCGGTTTCAAAGCGTTTTCTGAAGCATACCCTGACTTTGTCGAAACCGGCGCTCCAACTGGCACCAACTGCGGCTCTGGACCCCTCGGTAACAATAGTAGTGGCAACGCAGGTATCCTACCCGTTATTGGAGGCGTCATGCTACCGAACGCATCAAATAACCCCAACCCGTTTTTTTCGAACATCAGACAAAATATGGATCTCGCAGACGGAGTCGGCCAGCTCGAAATTGCGCGACCCAAAGGCTTGGACTCTCCTACACTTCCACGCTGGCTCCGGGACGCATCCACTCTTGGCGATCACGGACAACAGGTGTCCGACAAATTCTTGCATATCGAAAAGGATGAGCAATCACGGATGAAGAAGGCCTATTCCGTGTTTAACCCAGAGTCCAAATCAATGGGTACGATTCCAGTCCAACTCTCTGGTATCGAGAAGGGAGTCAAGAATCGCTACAAGGACATTTTGCCTTTTGACCATTCTCGCGTTAAGCTGCAGGGTCGAGAGAGTGGAGCTTGCGACTATGTCAACGCTAGTCATATCAAGGCCTCGAGGAGCAACAAGCGATACATTGCGGCTCAAGGGCCTCTACCTGCCACTTACGAGGTTGGTGTTTTTTTTTCTTCTCCTTTGGTAAACTGACGAACGCCTTAACTAACATGCTGCAGGACTTCTGGTCCGTGATTTGGGATCAAGACATCCGGGTCATCGTCATGTTGACAGCCGAGTCCGAAGGTGGTCAACTCAAGTGCCATCCATATTGGAAAGGCAACGAGTTTGGCCACACCAAGCTCAGGCTTCTGTCTGAAAAGAAAGTCTCCCTAGACATTGACAAGCATCGTTCTGGCTCGAATGCACAGATGACATCTCAACCTTCAGCAGAAATGGGCCGAAGAAGAGCAAATACGACGACATCTACGACGTCGCTGGAAGGAGCAACGCCGGCCCCGGCTTCCACATCATCCAGCGACTCACCCTACGTCATCGTCCGCAAGTTCGCCATGTCACACGCAGCGCATCCATTTGCGCCAATTCGTGAGATAACGCATCTTCATTATCCGTCGTGGCCTGATTTTGGCGCACCGGCTCAACCTTCCCACCTCCTCGGCCTGGTGGAACTGGCCAATGTCATGCAGCGCGCGGCTTTGCCTATAGACACGCCATCGGTGACTGGTCCACGCGCATCGTCAGATCCGCCGATGGCTTGGTACGACGAGCCGGAAGCTGATGCACAGGCGCGACCAATGCTGGTGCACTGCTCGGCGGGGTGCGGTCGCACTGGAACTTTTTGCACCGTGGACAGCGTGATCGACATGCTCAAACGGCAGCGTCTGGCGCGGACAACCTTGAAGCCAGTCCGCAAGCGCGATTCGGACGGCGACATCAAGATGAGCGGAGAGCGCCAAGTAGAGGAAGCGGTGTCGCCGAAGACGGCCCAGGAGAAGGCGTTCAACTTTGCCACGTCCCCTCAGCGATCCAACCGCTCAAGCCCAGAGGGCAAGCCAGCTTGGGAGGGCCCACCACTCAACACGGCGTGGGTAGGGGATGACACGGTTGACCTCATTTCTGAGACTGTGGAGGACTTCCGTAGGCAGCGACTCAGCATGGTTCAGAGTCTCCGACAGTTTGTTCTGTGTTATGAGACCATATTGGAGTACATCTACAGATTACATGAGGGGGGTAGCGTGGGTGCGGCGACCAGCGGCACGAGCAGAGCCCGAAGCGGTAGCCTCCAGCACCACCGGAGCAGCTGATTTTGGCCGGATATGTTGCATCAGTAGCGAGCGATGGGAAATTCGTAGGGCGTTTGCAATGGGCGGCGTTTGGAAGGTGTCCGTAGTGCACGCGCCGCGTTCCAGCCATCAAAGCCGTACGCCGAGGGGGCGAGACGGCAGATAGGTCTGCGTCCGACGTAGTAGACTAGGTACCTAAGGTTGAGAGAATGCGACGATGACGCGTAGGTGTAGGTAGCGTAACGCGTGCAATGAATGGATGATATGCCCCATACAATGAAGCCTCAGCAGGTGATCAATACCATGTGATGTGTAGGAACACAGGCGCGAGGTGAGCACGTCCACGTAGAGATGTTAAGGGGATGCTTCATGGGCAAAGGTCGGGTCATGTCCATGCTCTATTTTGATACATATTAGCATACAGCGCGCAGCAACGCGTACTCGCCGCTGCGCATTCCGAGGCGCTGTCGCCGCTCGCTGCCCTTGCTTTCCACCCTGCCTAAACAGCGCCGCATCAACCCCCCCTTCCCAAACGCGTTGTGTCTTGTCAAGAGCAGCCCGTGGGCCGGAAAGGGAAGAAAAAGCAGACAATTCCCCCTCCCCAACGAGACGGACCGAAGAGGCCATTGTCGCCGTCTTCCGTCTACTTCCACAGCTTGCCCAAGGAAACCTCCTTGTCGTCGTGCTTGTTGAGGATCTTGGCGGTGGCGAGCTCAAAGTCCTCCTGCGTGACGTGGACGCGGCGCTCGCGGAGGGCGTACATGCCGGCCTCGGTGCAGACACCCTTGAGCTCGGCGCCGGAGCAGCCGTTCATCTTCTCGGCGACCTTGGTGAGGTTGATGCCGCGCGTGAGGTTCATCTTGCGCGAGTGGATGCGGAGAATGTCGGCGCGGGCCTCGACGGACGGCGGGGGGAACTCGATTTTGCGGTCGATGCGGCCGGGGCGGAGGAGGGCGGGGTCGAGAATGTCGAGGCGGTTGGTGGCCATGATGATCTTGATGTTCTTGGTGGGCTCGAAGCCGTCGAGCTGGTTGAGGAGCTCGAGCATGGTGCGCTGGACCTCCGAGTCGCCGCCCGAGGAGCCCTCGACGCGGGAGGAGCCGATGGAATCGATTTCGTCCATGAAGATGATGGAGGGCGCGTGCTCGCGGGCCATGACGAAGAGCTCGCGGACCATACGAGAGCCTTCGCCGATGTATTTCTGCACGAGCTCGGAGCCCGAGACACGGATGAACTTGCAGTCGGTGTGGTGGGCGACGGCACGGGCGAGTAACGTCTTGCCCGTGCCAGGGGGGCCGTAGAGGAGGACGCCCTTTGGTTGGGCAATGCCGAGGGACTCGAAGAGCTCGGGGTGCTTGAGGCCGAGCTCGATGACTTCTTTGATTTCCTTGATCTGCTGGTCGAGACCGCCGATCATGTCGTAGGTGCTGTCGGGCACCTTCTCGACCATCATGAGGGAGACGAGAGGGTCGACGGAGGAGGGGAGCATCTTTTCGAGCTTGTAGCTGTCGGAGAGGAGAGTGACTCGCTTGCCGACGGTGAGCTTGGTGACGTCGACCGAGTCGGCGATATCGACAACTACGCAAGAATTATCAGAATGAGGACAGATCCTGGACAGTCGGGGGGACAGTGATGCGTACCATATTTGCCTTCAGGATGCACCTTGACAAGAACCTTCTTCGTGCCCATGACCTTGACCACCTCGCCGACGTAGGAGCCTGGTTGTTGCAGCAGACCAAGTTCTTCCCTCAGCAAACGCACCCTAGAGTTGTAGTCGTTTCTTTGGGCTTCAAGACGGCGGAGGACAGCTTGACCCTTGAGGATCTCGAGCTTCATCGCCTCAATCTTGTTCTGATAGTAGCTATCGAGCGCCATGACGACGTTGGTGCCCGGGGGGCGCTTGAAGGATGGTCTGTTTCTGTGCTTTCGGCTAGGTAGGAACGAGTTACTAGGCGTAGAAGATGGTTCGCAATGGCAGAAAGTCGTCGATTTGGTTATCGTGATGAGGTGAGTATCGGGAACAGAGCAATGTGCTAGGCAAGGCTGGCTGTAGTGCACCGCTGTCGCTGTCACAGCTCAGGCAAGCCATTGGGTACGCGTCCGGGGTGGCCTTCCAAGGTCACGTGCTGCTTACAGTGCAATGCAGATAGATTTCTTAGATAAGCAGGGGGCGCCAGGTTTATGGGGTTCACCGTCCGCCACTCAGGTGCAAAGCAATGGCCATGCATCGCATCGCATCGATGACCCACCTGCGGTGTACATGGTACATGTACATGTACTGCGCTGTTGTCATCAGTGCCCAGAGAATGCCTTGTGCATTGACAGGGATGCACAGTGACGTCTTCTCGAATCGGATAAGCGCCCTCCTGATCGAAAACTCGGCAACGAATGGACGGTGGATGGGACTCCCCAAAGGAGGGACCCTAGCAGAGAGGAGGTACCATGTACACGTTTACAGGCTGTTCATCGGCGTGGATCCAGGGATCGCAAGTCGCGGCTGGCACCGCTACCACTAAGAATCATCCGGCACTAGTAAGTCGAACGGAGGAGAAAATATTGCCAATCACGCCTCATGATGCCACCTTGGTGGAGATGGGTGAGAAGAAGGGGTGTTACCGAAATGGCCAACATGACCATGGAGATGCAGGCCGAGCCCCTCGTCACGGCTTGGTGTCTCTCGGTCGGCTTACGGGGTGCTTCTTGATGAGCAGATGATCGGGAGCCAGTAACCATCGGACCGGCCGGCAGTGATGCGCCATCACTACCCAAGGTAGGTACAGTCGACAGACTCAGCAGATGGTAAGCATGAGGAGGAGGGAGGAGGGAGGGAGCAAACGGACAAACAGCCGTGGGGCCCGATGCCACGAGTCTGGGGAAGGAATGGAGCAAAGAGCACTGAAGATGCGAGGGAAGCGCAGCCTAACAACACTAGGTCTTACCTTCCCTTGGCTTTGAAGACCAACTGCAAAGACCAAGAGCCATAGCAGGAATGAACCTCATCAGTCGTCTCTCCTCATGTCTCTCCGTCACATCTCCATGTCTCTCCCATCTTTTTGCCAACACCTGACCTGACGTGCTTTTGCGACAAGCCGACACGACGCGCCTGGTACAACGGCCCCTCTCTAGTTTTTACCCATCTGCCTCCTGCCCGACCTGACCCAACATCGAACCGCACCCCCACCCCCGGCTTTTTCAGCTCTTAGACCCTGTCATTCTGCCTACCTACTAATTCCCGAAGCTCGAGCTTCAAGCTGCCTCCGGCTGGCCAGCTTGTTTACCTCTCTCTTCCTCCCCCAGCTTGGGTTGCGATATTATTCTTGCCCCTCTCCACCTACCAGCTCACATCACTCTCTTGTCAACGGCACCCAAAAAGCTGTGCGTTCCACAGCACCACAGCACAAACAACCTATCGACGACGGCTTGACACACAACCTTGCACCCAGCGGATTCTGCCATGCACCAAGCAACCCTGCCACGCTGAATTTGCGAGGACACAACCCACGGCGACACCAGTCACAGCATTTCCACAACCTCGCGCTGAGTGCTGCGTGCTGCGTTCAGCAGACTGACTCGATTCTACCGATTCAGCTCAACTTCGCGCCACCATGGATCCCTCCGATAGGTCAGGAACGCCCTCCAACCAGGGCGAGTCGTCCAACGCTTCGCCCACAGACACAAGGCGTCCGACTCGATACGAATCCTACGGCGCTGGTCGCGACGAGGGTTTATCTGAGAGCTTCCAATCTTTCCAGTCCACTGAGACGGTCAGGCGGCGCCCTGAAGCTGGCTATGGTACGTCTACAGCTTCCATTCTCTCAACCGGTGCCACTTGACATGTTCCACTGGATCCGGGGGCGGAAGCCGAGCCCGACCCCAAGCCGATCAATCTCAGCGTGACCCAAAGCCGCGCGTAACCCTGTTGCTCAGCTAACAATGTTTCTTTCTTGCTTCTCCAGGCTCCATGCAAAGCAGTCAAAGTCTAACACCGCAATACCCTGGAGAATCCTCAGCCCACGACCGAGCCCACTCGCGATCGACTCAACCTGTCCGATCTCCCATGCTGGGACCCGACCGTGTTAAGGCTTCACGAACGCGAAAGCCCCCGATGCCACGCCGACCGACCAATCCTGCTGCTCCCCACCGAGGTGAAGTCTTCTCGACTGAGGACGATCTTGATGAGGTTGCTGCAGATGCTGCCGAACGCCACCGGGAACATCATCAGCAGCAAAGCTACAGCACCCGCAGGAGGCCCCAGCTAGGCAATACTTTATCCAGAGTACAATCCTCGCGTAGCGAGCCCGAAGAAAACGACGACGAGCAACCCGAGACACCTCGTGCCGACGACGAACCCGCTGAAGAGATGTCCGATGATGGAAGCGAAGCGGCTCCTGAAGAAGACATTGAGTGCGAGTCGGATGGAGACATCAGTGATGCCGAGAGCTTCACACTCAAGGATCGGCAGCAGGCTATCAACGAAACGCATCCCTTCGGTATTCGACTCTGGAAGCCTGCGCTGTACAAAAAAGATCGATCTGTGCAAAAAACGGCAGAGGGAGATATTCACTCTTCTCCTGGTCTCAAGGTCAGCTCCTGGCTGGTCTTCTTCAACCTCCTCTGGACCATCCTTTTCGGCTGGTGGATGGCAACATTCGCGGCCCTCGGCGCCCTTGTCTGCTTCTTCTTTGCCGCCACACCCAGCGGTAGAGAATATGGGCGAGTCCTATGGGGTCTTGCTGGCTACCTGTTCTACCCCTTCGGCAAGTACGTACGCCTGGAACAGGACGACGCCTACCTGGACGAGGACCAAGGCGAAGGGCGGAGCATCTCAGAGTACGAGCAGTGGCAGAGCGGCGACCTTGAGTATGGACGACTGTTCTTCGGCCCGGAGCGCAATCGATCGATCGTTGGACGTTCACGACGGAGTATTGATTCCGAGCTCAGTGAGACCGACAGCCTCCTCGGTCGGTCCCGTCGAGGCGAAAGGAGCCAAACCCCTCCCAGGCTGAAGAGGCGACTGTTCGGTCGTGGACAGTGGAACATAGGCCGCGTTACCTTCTTCCTGTTCTTCTACTTCCTTCTGACGCCATCTTTGATCATCGTGTCTCTGATCTGTTGGTTCTTTGTCTTCACCATCCCGATGGGCAAGGTCACGATGCTGCTCTTCGATCACCTCCGACGCCACCCTCTCGCGCTGTCCTTCGACTCGGATGTCAGCTATGCCCGCCTTTCCAACGGACAAAACGCGTCGATACTTCTGTGCACTTATCGCGCTGTGGGAACCCGATACTGGAAGTACACCGTTGATGGCACCAACATCTTCCTCATCAATCTCATGGGCGTTGTTGTTTTTGTCATCCTGGACTGGGCCATCCTCGAAAACATGCTACACATGGATATCTTCATCACCTCGCCTGCTTTCCTGTTCGTCATGGGTCTGCTATCCATCATACCTCTGGCGTACTTCATTGGCCAAGCTGTCGCCTCCATCTCAGCTCAGTCGTCCATGGGTCTGGGTGCTGCAATCAACGCCTTCTTTTCCACCATTGTCGAGGTCTTCCTTTATTGCGTGGCCCTGAAGCAAGGCAAAGGGCAACTTGTAGAGGGCAGCATCGTTGGCAGCATCTTTGCGGGCATCCTCTTCCTTCCGGGACTTTCCATGTGTTTTGGTGCCATCAAGCGCAAGACTCAACGGTTTAACGCCAAGTCGGCTGGCGTCACATCCACGATGCTTCTGTTTGCCGTCATTGGCGCATTTGGACCAACTCTCTTTTACCAAATTTATGGTACGCACGAGCTGAATTGTCTTGACTGCTTGGACTATGACGGCAGTCAGGCTATCGCCCAAGGAGACAGCCGGGACTGTCGAAGGTGCTACTTCTCGCAAGCACCAGCCCTGAACGATCGCTTCTACCTGGAGGCGGTGCGTCCCTTTTGCTACTTCTGCGCCTGTCTGCTGTTCCTATCCTATATTGTAGGTCTTTGGTTCACCCTCCGGACACATGCCGCCATCATTTGGAAAGATCAGCTGGACGAGAAGAAGCATGATGAACCCCCCACACAAACATCGACACGACCTTCCGTTCCCCACTCGTTCCACGAGGCGCCTGGCAGCTCGAGCGCCGATATTCGAGATTCGCACTTGTACAAACGCATTCTCGGTCACACACAAAAGCAAGTTGGCCTGCAGCCTAGGTCAGAGGACGTCACGCGTCAGGGCTCTACATTGACAACTGGCTCTGCGAACGGAGCTTCCGGCCTTCCGCACCAAGTCCCTCCCAAGGTTAGCGGCAGTGATGTCCGCGCTGGCATGCACCTCTCTGGTCTTTCAGAGATTGACAACAACGCTCTGGCTCGTGAAGTCGCCGAAATTGCTGCCACTGCTGCCACGTTCGCGGCCCGAGATGCCCGTCTTCCTCGTCGAGGCTCGGGCTTGCCGACTAACACTGTGCCCACGACTCCACGCCCGGCAACAAGCCGCGCTGCCCCGTTCCCAGAGGTCGAAGATCCGGCTGCTGCTGCCATCAGCGGTAACGCCCACGGTGGGCATGACGCGCCAAACTGGAGTCGTCTCAAGAGTTCGATCGTACTCATGGGCGCCACAGTGCTGTACGCCATTGTCGCCGAGATTCTGGTCGACACGGTCGACGTCGTTTTGGAAGGTTTCGCCATTGACGAGAAGTTCCTCGGTATTACCTTGTTTGCCCTGGTCCCCAACACCACTGAGTTCTTGGTACGTCTGAACGCTACAAACATCCATGACATGTGCTAATCAGCGTAGAACGCCATCTCTTTCGCCATGAACGGAAACATCGCCTTGTCCATGGAAATTGGTTCAGCGTACGCGCTTCAGGTTTGCTTGCTGCAAGTCCCCGCGCTCGTCTTCTTCTCAGCCTTCTACCCCATGGATCTGCCTAGCAGCGAAGACCTCGAGCGGTATACATTCGCGTTGCTATTCCCCGAGTGGGATATGGTCCTCGTCATTCTCTGCGTCTTCCTCCTCAGCTACATGTACGGTGAGGGTAAGAGCAACTATTTCAAGGGAAGCATCCTACTGCTTTCCTACCTTGTTGTCATCGTCGGATACTACTTTTCCGGATACTCCCAGGATGCCATGGGCCCGAACAGGTTCGACATCATGGGCAATGATGGAGCCTACAAGAGTTTCAAAACAATCGGGCGGCGGACTGGTGGTGCGGTATTCGAAGCATGAAGAGTGAGGGTCGCTACTGTGTGCATAGGGCTGGTTGATTGAGTAATATGGCATGTGTGACGGTCTAGTGTCTTGTGCTTTCGGTCATTCAAGGGTCTTGCTAGGACCGTGTTCGCAGCCTAGGGGCTGTACATAGCAATGGCCTTGGGCCGCGTTGCATGGTTGGCGATAATTACGGAGTTGGGGCTATCATTCTTTACCACCTGGGTCTGTCAAGCTGTGCTTTATTCTTAGCATTGATCCTGTCTACAACTGTGTGTGTTTCCCGTACACGTGAAATGTTGCCGTCGTGACGGCGTGTTTCGCAAACTGGGGTGCAAACAAGGATTCGATGGCGTGCGTCCCTTTGGCCTTGCGATACAAGAGGTTGATAGGGAATACAATGCTCATGAACTTGTGTGGCTTTGCGAAGAGAGCCTTCCCTAGGTAGCGTGCTTAAGACACGAGCTTGACTTTGAGAGCGAGGTCCTTATGTATGGCATCGGATGTCCTGACTACTTTGTTTGATCTTGGGAAACAGGCACATAGTAAACAAGTACATTTACTTCGCGTGTACATATCACAGATAATCAGGCCATCAACATATGCGTATGAGCTCTTTAGCTAACAAAAATGCATTCATAGCCGCTTTGCTTTTGAACTATAGTAGATACCTGTCCAACAAGCAAACATATTTCATGGTCCTCAAAACGAGTGTAACATCATCAACATCGCAACATTTTCCCCATGTCACCTGGGGGAAGGGAAGCTTAATGACGCTTATCATTCAGTGATGATAAGGCTCTGGGCGGCCTGCAGCAGACATATGTAGATGGCAGCCTGGTCTGTGACACGAGAATCGTCAATACTTTCAATAGTGAACACCTTGGATTCGAGTTGATTTACCGTTGGGGGTCTTTTCAGTGCACTCCTGGGTGATCTGTGCCAGCTGGTCCTGATCGCCGGTGACCTGGCGGCGGTTGATGCCAAGGGTGTCGAGAACGCAGTTGTCAAGAGAGGTGACTTCTAGACTCGGTGTCAGTAAAGCGTAATGGAGTATTTTCTGGGGAGTACCTACCACCGCTGGCCAGCTTCGTCTTGCACTCCTCCACAACTCCCTGGAATGCCTCCTCAGATTGGCGGCGGACCATGCCGGCCACGGGACGGCGGTGGGCCATCTCCATCAGCATGGCCGCGACGATGGCGTCCACGTCCTTGTTCTTTTCCATGCCCTTGGTCGCGGAGTTGCGGTTGGCCATGTCCATGTCCATCGTAGACCTCGTGGCCATGCCGGTCTTCATGGCCGGGGCCATGGAACCCATCTTCATGCCCTTAGTCTTCTTCATGGTCGGAGCCATGTTGCCCATCTCCACGCGCTCACGCTTCGCCATGCCCATTGACGACGACGCGTCCTTCATGTTCATGGTGTTCCTCATGGCCGGTGTGGAGGAACCCATGTCCATGTCCATAGGCCGGCTGTTGGCCATTTCCATCATGGGCGCGTCCATGGAAGTCCGCATGGCGGGAGCCGACATGGCGACACCAACGAGAGTAGCGATGACACAGGTCTTCATGGTGAAAATATTTCGGGGTTATTTGGTTGGATCGGTTGGAGACGTGGAGTGTTGTAGTGTGGTTGAGTTGAGGTGATGTTTCCCCGTCACAAGACGCTGAACAGGGCGCTTTTTATATCTTCAAAGCTAGTATCCTGCTCTTGGCTTGACTCTTGGATAAAGTTAATCGAAAGGCGTCCGATGACCGCTCAGAAACCGCTGTGACAGAAAATCCAAGCATATCCGGGCACGCAAGTTCGTAATCACATTCCGCCTCAACAAACCGTCGTCGCAAGTTCAGCGAGATCTTTGCCAGTTATGGGTGAATCATTGTCGCATGCGAATGACATCGATCGAAACTCTGCTCAGGAGGATATGGCAGGCAGTAGCATCCCCTGTCGATTCTATGGCGCAGAGCCAGAAGATCTGGGGCAACGACGAGATGTCAAGATCAACAGCCGAGACAATTGTCTTTCAACACGTCAACGAACACTAGCCCTTGCATTCCCGACCGACAGCAGGGCTGGGCGTTGCGGCCACCGGCCCGATCCCACTGGGGCTGCTCTGGGGCTTTCCAAGGGGGCCAACATTCCAGTGAAAAGGGGATCTTATGAACAGCTTGGGCGACAGCGTCTGTCAAGCTCGATTTATCAGTTTGTACGATTCAGTGCAGGTTGATGAGCGTGAGCCTCTGCCTTGAACCCTCATCCACCACGCTAATTTGTCATCAGATCAAAAACCAACATGTACATCACTAGGTCTTCGCTAGTTACTACTTATCAAGCGCTGATCCAGCCGTTAGCAGCATCTTTATTCAGAGTCCTGCCTGCCACAATGTGTTTCACGATGCCAAACGACGGAGTAACATCACTGGTAAACCACTGCAGAATAGACTAGAGGAGGTCCCGGAAGCCTTCCTCTCTTTAAGCTGGTACTTGTGGAACGACGCGGGAGCCAAGCTGGCGGTGAGTCAGATGCCTGCTGGAGGCATAAATCCGTCGTCATTATGCCGGCGGCAGAGACGACGAAGACGATGGCGGTGACCGCAACATGAGGACATAGAACATGGCAACGCATCTCATCACTACGGTGGCTGATGATAACTGATCGAGAGAACGGCGATGCGTAGGAACATCATGGCTTAACAGACGACAATACGTGACAAGCGTTCACATATTTTCAGCACCTGCTCAAGGAACCCTTATATGACGAACTAAGACATGTTAGATCCACTACTCTTTCGCTGACCTGGACCAGCATATTCTGCCCTGCCTTGGCGAAAACCCCTGGATTACGCTCTTCGTATAGCTGTCGAAATGGTAGACATACAGACGTCCATCAGCTCCGATAGCAATGCATGGTGGTTCCTTACGCTACAGCTCATGCTCCAAGCGAGATATCGATATCTTATTAGCGGATATTGATGAACACGATGCGTACACCACGCCCGCCAAGGCAGATGGAAATCACTCTTACCGCCTCCAGCTCTGGCTGCTTGGCCCACAGAGTACATGGGCATTGTCACGATGCTATCACTTCTTGCTATATTCGGAAGATTGGAAACCTAAACAACCTGACCTTGTTGACAATCATGAGCCTACCCATTTATATGGGTTCCAAGTGAAGTGGAGCAGTGGAAGCATTTACCCACCGTACATGTCTGCTAGCCACTTGCAAAATGCAAAACATACAACACCAGGGATTCGCTAGTGGTCACCCACCCAACTACTAGTCCGGCCCTTATTAGTTTATCGCTAGGAGAGCGGACGGGATCCCGAGTTTTCTAATAGGTATGATCGTATGTGCTGGTTCAGCTTGCGTCGGTGGCTTATGATGGTCGCGGTGATGCGTTGGGGACTGATCGATCTGACGCAATATCTTCGAATGATAACACAGCCTTGAACCAACCCTTTTTCTCCTAGGCCTTGTATCACTTACCTCATAAGACCCTGTAACTTGATCTGGGACTCCTTGATTCAATATATATTCTTCTGGCGCCATTGGATTGCTTTGAGTAGCTAAGCTTACGGCCGTGTGAGAGTGCTGTCACTGACCCCTTCTGTGGCCGGACCGTAACAACAAGCAGGGTATGAGCCTTCTACGTATGTGTGTTATAATGTTTTGCACGTGGTCTCTGCCGCTCGTGATACGACGCCGCATCGGTTCTTATTGATTTTGTTCGCGGAGGTGGACCGTTATAATATATAACATGCCTCGTCAACCTCACAGAACATGCAATACATCAACCTTCTTCGCTCTGTCTCGGACAATCTGGATGAGGTGAGCCATGTCATGCGTCCCAGCAAACCCGCCCACTCCGTACAGAAACGAGATAAGTACAAATGCAGCGCACGACCTGGCACGAAACCCGAACTAAGGCTGTCAACTCCAGCCAGCCCTTCACAGGCTGCACAGAATATTCATAAAGCGGAACTCATCATCTGAAGCCCAATGCAGTTCAAAACGTTTGTAGTTATTGTCAGACTATCTGCAGAGCTCAGGTCCCAGCTTTGCCACCCAGAACAGCCCTGTTTGTACTACCACAATGGCCTCTGGCATGTCTTGCTTTGGGATGGAAAACGACCCCTCCTCATTCATCAATACATTCCCTCAGTCCTTGCGGACTTCGTTCAGCAGGTAGAGCTGCCCGGCCCACTGCTCTTTGACAGTAGGCCAGATCTGCGCAGGGGGCAGAATGAAGCCGCCATCACGAGCGTTCGCAGGCGGCAGCTCCAGCGTCCACGAGTGGCTCGCATCGGCGGCGCCGTGGTGGAAATCACGGCCGGTGCCGGTCGAGAAGTAGAGGACCTCGCAGGCGGGACCGACGGTGTAGTTGCGGCCGCTCGAGGCCTTGATGGCGGCGGCGGTGCCCTGGCCGACCTCGCGCATGCGCGGCAGCGTCGCGGGCAGGTCGGCGGCGTCGCAGGACCAGCCCCAGGGGGTGAGGATGAGCTGCGAGTAGGAGTGCCAGTCGATGTAGGAGCGGATGCCGTGGGGGCCCTCGGCGAGCTTGCGGGAGAGGGCCGAGACGGCGACGTTCTCGGGCGTGTCGCCGGGGCAGCGGCCCTTGAAGGACTCGGAGCAGGGGTCGGGGGAGACGGAGCCCTCGGCGGGCTCAAAGTACCACTGGTAGTTCCAGTTGCGGTTGTTGTCGGTGCCGATGCAGGTCGTGTTGCGGCGCGGCTGGCGGTTCTTGCGCCACAGGCGGTTGGTCGTTTGCGTGTAGGCGAACCCTGTCATGGACATGTCAGTAAGACTCGAAGAAGAACCGAGAAGATGGCAAACGCCATACCGTCGGGGTTGTGGAAGGGAATGATCCAAAACTCGTAGTCGTCGAAGAAAGAGGTCACGTTTTTGTCGCCGTTCTTGTATCCGTCGATGAGCTGGTACGTGAGATACTCAACAACCTGCAAATAGATCAGCACTGGAAGCTGTCGAAGAGAATATGCAGTATTCCCTGAGAGCTAGCTACACCACGCAGCTTCTACGCCTCATGACGCAGGCTCTTCGGATTTTCGCACTACAGGGTTGACTCACCATGGTGCTAATCCACTCACGGGCGTGGACAGTACCGTGCCAGAGCTTCATCGAGGTCAGCCTTGCTCTCATTTTACCTGCGAATCCGCAACTCACAATGACGGGCTTGTCGCCTTTCTTGCCCTCGCCGCCCCAGAGGTGGAAGGCGTGAATGTCACGCCCCTCATACGATGGCCCCAGCGTGAACTTTTCGCTGTTCTCGGGGAACGCCGCGACGAGGTCGTCCCAGTACTCCAGGTGCTCGGCGTACGAGTGGTAGCTGTCGAACCACGACAGGTCGGGCAGCTCGCCGCGGCGGTCGAGAGACCGGCGGTACGTGACAGGGTGGGCGGCCTCGTCACGGATCTGCTTGCCCATGTCGCGCGTCAGGAGGGTGTAGTCGAAGCCCATGCCCTCGAACGAGCGGACCTCGTTCGGCGGGATGGCGACCTCAAGGGCGTCAGCCGAGTGGACCGAGTGGAATGACGCCAGACGGGCTTCGATGTCTTCAATGTCGCGCGGCGACTCGGCGCGGATACGGTAGATGTGATAGTTGTCATATGTGACCTTGGCTTCGGGAATAGTGTCGCGGACCACGGGGTCCGAGGCAACGGCGGCGGCCAGGCCCGAGAACGCGAGGGCTGCTCCGAGGAACTTCATCATGACGCGGCGGAGGAATAATCACCACAAGAAAGCTACGGAAGGATAGCAAGGTGGACAAAAAGCGATCTATCGAGGATGAGGGAGGGGGTATCTGCGCTTTTATATCTCCCGAACTGGCGGTGCGTACTATCTTTCCGTGCACAACCGCCAATGCAACCTGAGCCGGATCGACATCATGACGGCGATACAGCCGCAGGGCGGAAGGCGCAACATGGCAGGAGAGTCGCAGCTTGCGAGCAGGAACATACTGCAGGTGCAGCGCTGGTGCAGGCCCAGGGGCATCGACGGAGCACATCTCACTGAGTCAACTAACTAAAGGAAGGTCGTGCAAGGTGGGTGAGGGGTATCGCCGGATCGTCGTGGTGGGCCAAGGGGACAAGCAAATCCGCCTCGGCCCCCCTGACAGTATCGTCTTCGCAAGAGGAAGCTGGCTAACGACTGGAAGATGCAGATGGCCGGCCGATGACGACGTCGTAGTCTCCGCGGCGTGGGTTGCAGCGCGTCGCAGAGCTAAGAGGTCGATGTAAGCCCAAAGCAGCAGGTGGCCGCGCCGTTGACGGCTTGGCCCAGACCCCGGTCCCCGCATCATCACCGTTGAGCAATGCCACTGGATCTGCAGAGGTGGAGAGTTTGTGAGCCTGGTACGGTGCAGTTCAAGAAGAGGAAACAAGGATCGCACGACAGGAGGGCACCCACTCGTGCTCGTGTACTCCCTCTATATGGCGCGATAAGGGTGAAACAATTCGACGGAAAGATCGCTGGTGATTTATGGGAGTGAACAAAGTTACGAAGTGAATTTCGTTTGGCTCAGTGGCCGACATATGTCTTGAAGGGGTATTCTCCTCCATGTGTCTTGGTTGCGGTGTCTTGCCCTTCTTCGGAGTGTAACTTGGTCAGATTCCCATGGCATATTCTCTGGTCTCGCGGACCCAATCGGTAATCGGCCAATTGAGCCGACGCGATCCGTGGCTGCGAGGCATTGTGCCAGACGGCAGCAATCTAGATCGCCAGGGGTATTCCATACGCTCAACCGCCAGCCGCTCCTGCAGATTGAGATGCCAGCCCGTGGATAAGGTCAGGTTCGGTCGCAAATCGATGTGTTCTTCGTCCCTTATGCAAGACAATGCTCAAGGCCGTAATCCCTCTCTCAACTTCACCCGGACCTCTATCCCGTCGTTCGGCCTCGCCGTGATCTGGCGATCCTGTCCCTTGTCAGCGGTATATCTTGAGCGATTGCTTTTACAAGAACTTACACTGAACAGCTGCGTGTCAGAGACATGCTGCCCCTTGTCGTCCAACAAAGGCTTTCCATCTTGGCCGAGCTTCGCCTCTGCCATGCTGACCTTGACGAAATCATACTTGACTACGACGGTGGCGAGAATGATCCTAGCCTCGATGTTCGCCAGTTCCTGGCCGATGCAGTTGCGCGGACCCCTCTCAAAGGGCCGCCACGCTGACACGGGTATATCGCTCTCGCTAGCCTTGCCGATAGTCGCCTTCTCGGCGTCGTTGGTGTCTTCTTCGTCGTCGTTAGACACGGAGGTGCTGGTGTTTCCGAGCCAGCGCTCGGGGACAAAGTCATTAACGGTGGGGCCATAGACGGCCTCGTCGCGTTGGATGAGCGTATGGCAGTTGTACAGGATGGTGCCGTCGACACAGTGACTGGAGCCGTCGGCGAGCTTGAGATGGAAATTGGAGCCGGGAGGACACCAGCGAGCAGTACCGGCAGGCGGGTACAGGCGCAAAGCCTCCTTGATGACAGCGGAGGTGTAGGTCATTTTGGGCATGATGTCGTCGCCACGAGCCTCAAAGGCGGCGCGCACGGTCTCGGGCGTGGCGTCTGAGCCAAACAGGTCTGCGAGCTCGGCGCGCAGAGTCTTGAGGGCGCGGGGCGTACGGGAGAGTTCATACAGCGCCCATTGCAGCAGGATGCTCGTCGTGTCGTGGCCGGCGAACATGAAGGACTTCAACTGGTCGATGGTCTCGCTGATCATGGCATCGCTGACATGATCCTCGTCTTGGAGACTGAGGGCCAGAACGGTGCGGCTCTTCCTGCCCTCGCGCTTGAGCTCGTTGTACTTGTCCCGGACGAACTGGGAGAGGTGGGCATCAACGCGCTTCGCCATGCGACGCCGTCTCCAGCGCTTGAGAGGCTGGGCAAAGGCAGGCGTGCCGCCATCATCGCCCTTGTAGGTGAAGAGAAGCTCGCGGTACATCCTGATGAACTCGCTTTGCTTGTCGTCGGGCAGCTGAGCATTGAAATCGATGCCCATGGTCACGGCACCAATAATGTCAAAGGTGAGGCCAGTCAGCAGGGGCTCGAGTGTGAAGGATTCGCCAGAGGCGACGAGACGGTCGAGGCTTGCGAGTAAGGGCTCCGTCTTTTCCGTGATGAGGGGCAACAGGGACATGAGATGCTGCGGGGCGAAGCCCGGGTTGAAGCGGCGACGTAAGTCCTTCCAGCGAGAGCCTGTGATGCGGATAATGGCGCTGGGTCCGATGAGAGGTTCGAGGAAGTCCATGGTCGTGGGCTTTCCGAAGCTGTAGGGAAAGGCCTTGGTCTGCTTGGAGACCTGCTCAGCGACCTCGTGCGTGCGTATGAAAAGTATCGGGTGGTTGAAGGGGCGGATATCGAGCAACATGACCTCGGGGTTTCCGATGGATTCAATCATGCGCCCAAAGATTTTGTCTGGCCAAGGTCAGCATCGGGCAAAGGGCAGAGGGCGAACGGGGAAAGGTGGGAGACGCCTACCCATATCTGTGGTTCCTGAACCGTCTGATTTGAAGTGCTCGCCTAGGACAGCCAAATGACCCCATACGACAGAGGGTTTGATCTGAGGAAGGTGGGCGAATTGCCGTAACCTGCGGTAAACCAGAGCTTGGTAGAGGTAGACGGTGAGGGCAAGGACGCCGAGGCCGCCCAGCAGCCATAGGTTTGTGAACATGACAGCGAGGAAGCTGTGGTCGTTCGCTATGGTATGAAGATGGTACGTGAGGATGAGGTGTTGGCGATGATGGTGGACAGTGCCCGATTGCCAAGTGGAGCGTCACCGACTTGCTGGTTATGTCATTGACAAGGCGAAGCAGACGTGATACTGAAGACGAGACCGACGCGTTCCTGATCGATCAACCCCAGTAAATTGATAGCACTGGCTGATGATACCTCGTGAGATGGCAGAGGAGGTTGTCGATGGATGATGATAGCTGCCATGAGCTATGTGGCCGAGTCCAGGGTGAGCCTTGAAACCAGGGGCTCTGTGGAGGGGGGTTGCTGGAAGGTAGCTGGTGGCGGGCGTTACGGGCGATCCGAGTCCCCGTGGCACCACCCTTGTCACTGGAGGGGAAGATGTTTGTTCTCTCTTTTTACCTATCGAGGGCGGCGAGGCTGAGCTTGGTGCATCGGTAACCAGGCGTACCGAGACGGATGGCAGAGGGTCCGTGTCAATAGCTTCACTTCCTCTGTTGATGCTCCAGGGCAAGGACCGACGCCCAGGGCAAGGACCGATGCCCAGGGCAAGGACCCAGAGGGCGAGCCCCAGCCACCAGGTGTTTCAGGCTCGTTCAGCGCCCTGTGGGGGGTGTATTTGATTGTTGGGACCTTGATTGGGCCTCGTTCAGGGCGTGACGAATTGACTAAGCAGTAGCGATCACCTCCATCGCTCTTGCTGCCGTGGCTTGACGATCCGCTGTCAAGGCATATGCATCAATGATCGCCTGACATCGCGAGCCTTCACCGCAGTTCTGTATCCAACCTCCGCTCTGCGCTCGTTCACCTCATCGTCCTCGCCATGAAAACAACAACCGTGTCCAGCGAAAGCCAGCGTTGACTCCTTCTCATCACTTTCATCCAAAACATGGCCATGAAGGACCTCAACCTTCCTCTTGCCTGCCTGCTGTCCTAGGATGCCAGTCAGTCAAATAGCCATGTTACCAACACAGAAGGGCGGAGCCCGCACAAGCTCAAGCGACGACCGGGCAGCTAGTGTCGACGCCGCATCGTCCTGACCACAGGACCCAAAGGCCCGACGCAACTACGCAAAGCTCGTCAACCACGTTGCATTCTGTACACCCTTCTCGGTCTTCTCGGCACTCTGTTCTTAAACCTGATGGCGGGAATCACCCTCCGGCGTCGATGGGCCAGAAGTCTCTCTTCTCTCGCTACCGACGAGCATTTCGTCGACCTTGTCTCCTCATTCCATGAGACTTGGACGGCGAGGATACCCCGCTCCCTTGCTCGTCAATATCTCCGACACGTGCAAACTCGCCATTGAGCCTACAAGTCTCACGAGTACAAGGACATCGGATCGCCCATGGGCACCGCCACAGAGAACACGTTGTGGTCGATTTATGGCTGACGCGGACTGCCTTCAAGATACCACCTGAAGCCGTTTCCGGTCTGCACGAGCTCTTCATCATCATATCCTGTGAGATACTAGAGCCCCAGCTCATGACGGACTGAAGAAATATTGCCTGAAGAAATAGGACCTGGGGACATACTCGTCATGGGGAGGCTAACATGTTCATGCTGGCCTTGGTGGGGTGCTCACCAGTCTAGGGCACGCTAGATGCCCACCAGCATCAGAATCGAGCGACATGGTCAGATGGAACTAATTGCTTCTCAACAACGGCCGCATGGCCCAATGGCAAGGCGTCTGACTACGAATCAGGAGATTGCAGGTTCGAGCCCTGCTGTGGTCAACACAAGCACTCTCACGAGTGCTAATTCTTTTGCACGCGTGGATGTGTGATGTGATGCTTGGTGCTTGGTGATTGTCGACTGCGACCCCATGAGTCCAAAAGCGATACAATTCGGCGTACCTATGCTAAGGAGTTGCTTTTTTTCTCCTTATCATTTTCTTATCCTTATTCATGTTTCTTTTTTTCCAGAAGCCCTCTCAAACAGGTATTCATTACTCTTGACGTGGCTAAACCACGGAACAGACTGCTCCATCAGAGCACTGGGTACCCACTGTCCACCGTCGGTGCCAAGTAGCTCAGGTCGATACCTAATGGTCAGGTGAACTATACCCTCGTGCCAAGTTCTTCACCTTGAGCAGTCGGAACTTGACCGAAAGCTGTGCGGCACACGGTGTCTCCAACTCTTGGCCCGAGCCTTACGTGGGGGCCATGAGGGATCGCAAGTATGCGGCCTTCGCCAACGACGACATTTCCATGCTGGCCGGAGCCAAAGTACGCAACAACCGATATTGTGCGGCAGTCTCCATCACGTTAATGTGTATCTGTGATGCTCCAGAAGCCCTGCGGTCTATTGTTGCTGTCCACATCTCTGGCTAGTACTAAAAGTTCGCCGCTGGAACGGACGTTCACGCTCAACGTGCATTCGGTCACGACGGGATAGTAAAACACTGGAGACGTGCTTTCTGGTGGGCATTCCTACTGAGCAGACTGGCCAAAAGCGCAACAAAGGTACCGCATATAATCTCTTCCCTCTGCTATGAATCTTCCTCTGTAATAATCTTCCTCTTCTCAAGAAGCTGGTGTTAAACCTGTTCATGATTACACGCTGTAGTCTTCCCTACTCAAATTACATGGACCTTTCATCTGAAGCCTCTCCCAGCTTACATAGAAAAAAACACGCGGCCTTTCGGGCAACTTCCGAGCCCATTCATCTCATAGACACCATAGGTTTTCAAAGTTTGCAAGATCAACTTCATTTCCAAAGCACGCAAAGAGGCTCTCCGGGTTGGCGGCAATCGCCCGAGCCTCTTAGCACTCCGGCTCAGCCTCTTGTACCTCGTTCGCGTGCTCCAATGAAACCGACTGAAGCGATCTGAGAGGCTGTCGGAAATCACGGAAGAGCAGCCAAGTTCCTTCCCAACGCGGCGCAGGAGGGCCAGGAGGGCCTGCAGGGCCGGACTCTATCCGATGCATCCGCCGGCCGGATCGTGCCCGTGGACATTTGTTTACTCGCTCATACGAAGAGACTTTTACGCAGGACGGCGTGTATATAAATGTGCCTATAATCCATCGCGTCGTTTCTTGCCACTCCCGCATTTCTCCTTTTCCACAACAAAATCCATGGTTCTGATGACTGAGCTACTTGAACCTGGAGTAGTCTACATCTCCGAAATTCCCGTTTTCACGTCCACGAGTAGCAAAGGACGACACCACATAGGCGCGGCACATCAGAGGCAGAGACAGATGTCACAGGAAGCAAGGTTACCGGGATGCATGCATTATCAAACGGAATTGCAACAGATGTTATTTGATTTCTTGTCTACCCTTGGGGGTTCTGTAAGAGGAATGAATGTCCGGGGGCAAATCTCAACGGTAAAGACAGCTCTGAAGTAGTGTGCCGGTTTCTGTGAATGACCAGGTCATCTGCATAAAACATCAACAAAGTAAGGGTGAAAATCAAGCCACTTTGACAAGTATAGGAAAAGCGTAACTGGGGACAAGGCGCATCATTCGTGGATGGCGCCCATCCGGACGCTCAGGGGTTCAAGAGACGACATGGTCTGGAAGACGTCGGGGTTCACGTGGAACCCTTCCGCGCCGAAAGTCTCGAGAAAAGGCAGATGGGGCGGGTTAGGAATTTGCGCAGTCCGGGTGTCGGACATGGGGCCAAGTGGCACCTCTCCAAACAATGCTGACGGAATCCCAAAGCTCGACATTGGAGGAGTCATGGGTGCATTGGTCAAACCAAGTGCGTCGACGTCGATACCAAGACTGACAAGTTCTTTCGTGATGAGGGTAAGAGCGCTTCCAATAACTAAGGTGCACTGTTAGTCTTACGGTCCTCATGAGGAGAGAGTCTAGAAGGCACATACCTGGGTTGATCCGCTTGACTTGGCTCAGACTACGGACACAGTACTCAAGTCGGCGCAGCGCCTGCGCATCGTCGACATTCGACTGGACCTGGAGGAGGAATATAGAAGCGGCGATGTAGACACTGTAGGATATCGACAGGACGCACTGGTCAATGCCGAATGACCTGCAAAAGAGGTCGAAGATTGATAGGATAGACGTCGCGGACGTGACACACTCGACGAGATAGTTCTGGATAGGCTCGAGGTCATCTGCCGCAACACTGTTTCTTTGTGACAGCATGGGCCGGTAGAGTAGAATCTTGAACGTGTGATACAACGTGCTGGATATTGTTAGACGCACTCGTAAACTCACGCATGGCAAGCAACTCACTTCAAGCTGATAATGTGCGACGGAGGAGCCAGGGATGGCAGTGATGTTGTGTTGATCTTCAGATGCAAAGGCAACTCTTCCCACCAGTCCTGCAGAGCAATCTCCTGATCGACCAGACACTCCTGCATCTCTGCCTGACTATTGGGCCGTACAGGATCATACATGTGGACGAGGATCTCGTTGAAGATCTGCGACAGCTGGCACACATTCATAAAACATGTGATTGAGTGGGCTGGCGAGGGTGGGTATTTCCACCCTCCCTCGGGGACCATGCCAAACGGCGACCAAGTCTCAGTTTCGGACGAATCGTCAACTAACAAGAGCAATCAGTATGGTAGCACAGGTCGTCCTCGTAACAAATAAACTCACGCATGATCTGGGGTGGTGACACTGAAGACTGTTGGAGGGAAGGCGAGCGGCCGAGATACAGACTGATCATCTTGTCCCAGAAGTAACAGCTCCAGAATACGCGATGGCGAATCTCGACATCTTCCTCACTCAGTTGCACAGAACCAGGATATCGCTGGCCGTCAACGCAGATACCAAGGTGATCAATAATGCGGAAGGCTAGACCACTGTAGATCCAAGCCTGTGCGCTGTTGCCCACACTACATTCTTGGGCACTGAGGAGAAGCAACGTCTGAACGGTCGGGATGGAGTATTGACCCTGACTCAACTCGTCGAACAGCATACTTCGAGCATGTTTTCCGAAGATGGCACCCCCCTCGTATGATTCGTCGAGAATCTTCTTAGTCGCGGGATCGCTTCGGCCCCAGCGGATAGAGTGCGATAGGACAGCATTCATCAAGGTATGAGAGTAGTACGGGCCGAGTGTCTGCAGATCGCGTGTGAACGCGGGCCGGTAGATGAAGTTGAAGAGCGGCTGAATCCAGCACCAATGAACGTTAAGGAGATATTGAAATGGTTCCTGCAGGGTGTCAGCGGCATGGCAGGAAGAAGCCTCGCGGCGAGCACAAATCAAGGGGTAGACAGGAACGCGTTGCAGGTCAAACTCACGGGAATATCAGACAGGTTCTCCAGCGCACGCTGCTGCCAGGCATTGGCGACGAGGCGCTCCCGGCGCTTGGTCACCTGGTTCAACGACGAGGACAGGCCTCGGAAGCCGGGTGGGCGATCATCGGGAAGTTGAAAAAAGCTAGTGGTACCGTGGTAGGTAATGCCTCCCTTTTCGTCAACGGTCAAGCCCTTGAAGCTCTCGCTGACAAAGTCCTCATAGCCGGGCTCCAGGCCGAGAGGGTCCGGCGTCACGGAATGGCTGCGCGAGGTGTTGGGAGGCGAAGATGTCTGGAAACGCTGCTCCGTGGGCGCTGGGAGGTCGGCGCGTGCGAGGGCGAGTTGAGACTCGAGCTCCTTGATGCGCTGCTCCAGGCGGGCAGTGTATGACAGTGTTGGGTTTCTAATGCGACGGTCAGTGGTCTCAATGCCGCTGATGCCTGTCTTTGCGTCGATGGCAGCGTTGCTTGTCTCTCACAGCTTGTAAACACAATCTTCAAGGCGGGCGGCGCATCTGTTGCATGTTGGCTGCTCGCCGCCACACTTGACCTGTGGTGATGGTCAGTTCACTGCACAAGTTCTCTCGATTTCTCTCAGGTCCGGAGGTTGGCCGAGAAGCGGGGGCGGTTTGTCCGGGCAAGGGACGGCAAGGACAAGAGGTGACGGACCTTGCGTCGACGGCATGGTTCACACGAGAAGGCGCTTTTCTTAAGAGTCCTCATTCAATGGAAGAGATGGCGATGATGGTCTTGGTGGATAAAAGACGATGGTCGCAAACGCGGTGCGCGGGGGGGGTTGCCGTTGAGAAAGAACAGCAAGATCCAAATCTTGATCTGGACAGTGGCTGTCGTGAGTGATGAGGAATTAGGAAGTGACGAACCCCAAAAGGCACCACCACAGCGCCCCAAGCCCCGCACTAGTCCCCCCCGGACAGACCCGCTACATGAGGGGGAGCAGGCGCTGGTCGCACTGTGCCTTCCACGACACGAGGGGCATGCCTGCCTTTGTTGTAGCGCGACTCGCTCGCCAGTGGCGCCTGCCCTGCTGATGTCGATGTTTGTCGTTTTACAGCTGTCCCTGGCGGTTAGGCTCCGTGACGATCACCTCAGACATGACATCAAGACGTCACCGGCCTGCGTTTTGTTCTACTTTCAAGGTCGCAGATCGATGTGGCACATGCTCGACTTAGTGTGCCCCTATCCACAATAATAGCCCTCCGTAGCACCGTTCCGTGCACTGAACAACCCCTCGCTGCACATTCCCGTTGAGGGTATCATCAGCATTGGCCCTTATCAATCCTCTACTTTTCCTCGCCAATCACAGCTCCAGTCTGACCTTCCTTTGAGCTCTCGTCGTTCCCGCCGTTTGCCTTACGAGGATCAAGCATCCGGGTCACTCGAGTAGAGTGGGGGTCACCGCCCGGCTACCGCTCCGTCCCCTCACGGACCGAGCGGGAAATAACGGACTCGGCAACTCCGCCATCGACCGGCCCTGAGCCGTGCCCCTTTTTCTCTACCATGTTCTCCTCGTAGGTCGATCCAGACCCTCGGCTGAGTTGAGCTCAATGCTCGTAAACCGAGCTACTAGCTCTGGAGCCGCAAAACGTTCCTTCGCTGGGTTGCATGGTTGGCGAGGGAGCCAGCGGAGCTCATGCTTTCAGACCGTCCTTGCTGCGGGGAGCCTGGGGTAGCCTGGGCTAAAGGTAACATTGAGGGCCACCATGATGCTTGGGGGAGCCAGTCACATCAAGCTGGAACGTCAGCAACGGGGATAGCAAGGGGGGTTGCGGCGCTTGTGGTAGCGCAGGTCGGGGAACCTCCGAGATTGTTCGACGAAGTTGGACTTGGGGAGCTTGTCCTGACGAAGCTTTCATCTTGGGCTGGACACGGTGATTGCAAGGGAGACATGTGCTTCCACAATCGTCCGATTCGAGAGATCCAACCGCAGTGAAGGAGTGTGTTATGCTGAAGCGACATAAACATATATGTCTGGCCCTCGTTTGCGTCCATTTTGGAGGCAGGTTCGTGAGGGTGCAAAGTGCGGAGGCAGAGCTTTACGACGGAGTCTGAGCGGAGCCATGGCAACCGAACACAGAGGATGATAAGCTGCAAAGTCTGATAAGCATGGTTCCTTGAAAACCAGTTGAATCTTCTTTTTGTCGATTATATCACTCCGCCTTTGGATTTCAGGGCGAGAAAACTTGCGTACTTCGTGTCCCGCCTGACAGGCAGAGTGAGATCACTGACATTAAACACGTGTATTGATTGTGGTCACAATTGAACGGAAAAATCTCTTCTTCACAACCGGGACGAGCCCAGTGGTAATGAAAAGATAGAAAAGAACACGCCTGTCAGACGTCCGTCAACACCCACCCCGCCCGCGCGCCCAAGGGCAAGACCGCGAAGCAGGGACGAGATCATAAAACGCCCTCTTATACAGCTCACCCGAGAAGGGCAAGAGCCGCCACCTTTGCAGGCAGTGCGAGGGCAACCAGAGCCATTCACTCTAGGGTGTCGAGGATATCAATCATCAACCAGGGTGGGATCTGTGGCTCTTTTGGAGAACCCAGAGTAGGTCGAATACTATAGAAATGATTCTCCTGAGGAAGGGATTAGCGGCTGTCTTGCGAGGTAACCGTGTGCGGGCGCTGGTGGTGCTCCTAGTAGGGGGGTGGCTTACTGAAGTATTGTCGACATGAGGAAAAAAGAAGAAGAAGGTAAAAGGCAGCGCTGGGCCGTCACATTATATAGAGGTCTGACGGCGGTCTGGTGGGGCAGAACTGGCAGAATCAGCGCACGCTTCTGGCCAATGAATGGTGGGCAACGCAAAATCGTGCTGCAGAATTGGGTGGCAGGTGCAACATGGTACGTGCTGGTCCCTATCTTATCTCAAATCGTGAAATTTCTTGTCTGCAACGACTCGGAAGAAGTATTTTCATCCTGCAAAGATTTTTTCGGCCATGTATGGGGCTAAGATCCGGGTTCACCTGGATTCAGGGGCGAAATCAAGCTTGTGGTGTATTCTTGCGGTTTATTTTCATAGTTTGTGGTGGTTGATTCGCAGTGTCGAGAAGGAGTACGCTGCTTCAGTCTTCGACTACCTTCCTACCTTGACGCCTATACACCTGATCAGAGAAACTCAGCATGTTGCTCACGCTTTGTTCCAGCCTGCTCTACACGCATGGTTTTCTTGAAACCTCGTTGTGAACACTGCTCCCATGATGCACCATGTCATTCGTCCTGATACAGTTTCTCTTCGAGAACCCATTCTCTGACGGCTGGCGTGATGAACTTGTCCACCACCTTCTCATCTGCAGCCTCACGCCCCTTCAGCGCCTGCCTCACCCTGGTGCTGCTGACAACCTCTTCGTCGCCATCCACCAGCTCAACTCGCTCGGCCCACTCTCGCCGCCCGCCCGCCTGCTCGAACCCCCCGTCCCTCAGACCTGCGAGATAACCCTCCTGCTCCCCCTTTCCACCCCAATCGCCGCCGACCCGCATCGTGATGCGCACCTTTGCTCTGTCCAGGAACGGCCCGAGCGCCTGGGCCATGCCGCCAGGATAGTATTTCGGGTCAAAGATCCGCACGAGCGTGTCGTAGCCCGCCAGGAACACCTGGTCGGCGTCCCCGTACCGGCCCTCGTCCGCAATGGCCGCGCTCTTGTCTGGAAAGTACGGCAGCGTCGTGAGACCAAGGTCGACCGCGACGCCGTCGCCCTCGATGGCGTCCGTGAGGTCGAGCGCAAAGTGCTGCATCAGCGCCATGCGCGTGGGGAAGGCGACGGGCTGGGGCGCCTTGTCGGCATTGTTCACCGCGAGGAGGAGCAGCACGCGGGTATCTGCGATGGCGTGAGAGGCAGCGCGTATGGCCGAGGCGGCCATGCGCAGGTGTGCTACCGTTGGCGGGTTGAAGGACGAGTCGAGGACGATGAGTGTCTTTGGTGGTGTGGATGGAGAGGAGGGCGGGGTTATCTTGGAGAAGACGGTGAAGGCATCGCGACTCTGCTGAAAGGCCGTGAGCTGAGCTTTAAATATTTTCAGAAGCTGCTGACGCGAAGGGCCAGACATGGTGATTTGTACTGAGACTGGTGCTGTGTTGAATGATGGCTGATGTCGTGGTCAGTGAAACTGTCTATGCTGGGTCCATGGTGGGAGGTGCGTTTGGCCCCACATTGTGCAGTCAATTGGCTTGTGAGACCCAGATCATCTACGCTCTTGCTGGAACCGAAGTCGGGTCGCATGGGAGCTCTGACACGACGAAGACTGGCCCATGATTTCGCATTAATGGTGTTTTCAGTTTAGAGAGGAAGATGTGAGACAATACCAATACTGCTCTACATCATGAAACGGATCACCTCTGTTTTCCTGGCCATCCGTATTTACAGACTCAGCAGTCGTTCTGTTGATTGAAAGATCGAAATGCAACGATGGTGGGGTTCAGGCAACCAATGTACACCATAAGTGAGCTTCCAGATGTGGTCCCATAGCTCATTCACGACTGTTTATAGTTCAGCTTCGACTTTCAGATCGGCGAGTTACCGATGCTGCGGTCTGTGCGAGCAATGACTACTCGGGGCAGGCAAATGTGAAAGACGTAATAGGCAGGGTAGTAAGACATAGGGATTCGATTTCTTGTTTCAACTCCCCAGGTATTACAACAACAGTTGCCAAGCCATTCATAGCCTCCTCACGAGCGAAGAGTATCGGTATCACGCCTTCAATGCGCTGGCATCCGAGACCCCTCTGACGGACCCTCGACCTGTCAGATCTGTCCTCAACCAAAGGGATTCATTGTTTCCTGTTGCACTGCAGCATTGCTCCGTCAAGCTTGCCTAAGAAATAATTCCGACCAGCCTGGTGGTTTCCTGACTAGAAAGAAACCGCTCTAGACGACTGCCCGCGGGACCGAGGGGTTCTCGTGGGCTGCCTGTCTTTGAGTTGAACAACTCTCTACGAGATGTGACCAAGTACTAGAAGATGCGCAAAAGTCTTCTCTAACAGGCGCTACTTACCGACGACACTCAAAAAGACCCATATCCTTCAGCTTAAACCGCTGATCGTGATCAAACCAAGGCAAGCGAGGTCACACATAAGGTCTCTCATCAGCGACCAAATATCGTTCTCCACATTAAGTGACCTACTCCCAATACACAGCAAGCACAAAAATCGCAAAGCAAGTGTCAGAAAGAGAATCAGGAGCGGCTGGAGAGTTAGAAAACCCATGCCCTGCATTGCTGATCCCGTGAACCCGCCGCCGGACCGTTGCTATAAGAGCAGCGAAGCGCTCACGTTCGCAGCCAAGGGGATGACTAGGAGCAAGGGGTCCTTTTGGCCGGCGCAGCACGCCGACAACCTCTAACCGCCTCGTCGTTGACATGGCCCGGTCGTCACGATGCAAAACTCTCCCCATAACGAGAACGAAACAACGGCCCAGCTGACGGGGCGGATCCAAGTGAACATGATTCATCTATGCGCGACAGAAAAGACACGGAAAAGCAGGAGCGCAGCAGCATGGCAAGAAAAAAGCGAACGACGCAGCCCGGTGCCAGATCCCAAACCAATTCCCACAATACCTCTTGAGAGTCTGCCTCTCTATCCCCAGTTGGTCTCCGTCTCGTCCTTGCTCGGCTGTATGATCCTCCCTTCTGCCCACCGATGGGGAGAAGAGAAGACCTTCCGCTTCCATGCCAATTAAAGGAATTCGGGGAGGAGTTAAAGAAAATGGGGCGACTTCAGGGAAAGCCATCAAGTGAGCCGTTTAGCAGCATCCGCCGCTCGGCGAGGAAGAGACGTTCTGGCCGGGGCCGACCTGGACGCTGCGCTTCTCGTTGTTGGCGGTTGTGGTGCCCATGCGCTCCTTGATCTGGCGCGCCATGGTGAGGAACGCCTGCTCGACGTTGCTCGCGTTCTTGGCCGAAGTCTCGAGGAAGGGAATGCCGAGGCTGTCGGCAAATTCCTGGAAGAAGTATGTCAGCACCAAGTCCACATCTGAAAACCGAGCTGACACAACGCAATGGATCTGCGCAACGACTTGATGTCACATGCAACCGGTGGAGGAGACTCCATACCTTGGCAACGGTGTACTCGACGACCTTCTTATCGGCCATATCGCTCTTATTGCCAACAAGCAGCTTGTTAACACCCTCAGTGGCGTAGCGGTCGATCTCCTGCAGCCACTGCTTGACGTTGTTGAACGAGTCCATGTCGGTGACATCGTACACGACGCAGATGCCGTGGGCGCCACGGTAGTAAGACGAAGTGATGGTTCGGAAGCGCTCCTGGCCGGCGGTATCCCACTTTACGGCACGTCAGCAAGTCCATCACATCGAGCAGTCGACTGATCAAGGTCAGGTAATGGTTCGGGCCAAACTCACAATCTGCAGCTTCACCGTCTTTCCGTCAAGCTCTATCGTGCGGATTTTCTGCGCCCAACGTCAGCGATGGTCTTTTCATGTCGTTATATGGGAGGGCAAAGCATCGTACGAAGTCGACACCAATGGTAGAGATGTAAGACTCGGTGTAGGTGTCGTCGGCGAAACGGAGCAGCAGGCAAGACTTTCCAACACCGGAGTCACCGATGAGGAGGAGCTTGAAGAGGTAATCGTATCTAGTATCGCATTAGTCGAGAGAGTCGCGTCGTTTTGCGGACAGTCGATCCATTTGTTTCGGTCGGCGGTTTGAGGGAAGGATGGAAACTCTGTAGACAAATGGTCAGCTTGGCGCTTTCTTCGAAGTGGGCTGGCAGGCCCATCGCAAACGCAAAGGGGGGGGGCCACGTACCACTCGGGGTTCATGATGGCGGTCGGAAAGACTGGAAACTATCGTCGTGGTGTGATTGTTGTATGGGTGCGCAGAGAACGCAAAGTCGGTCGTCTTGGGGGAGGGGCGATGGATTAAAAGGCCGTCGTGATGAGGTGTCGTGGTAGAGGTCAAGTGAGCCAGCGTCGGAAAGGCAAAGGCGAAAGGCAGTCAGGTTTAGGTTGGCAGACAGGCTGCTACGTCAAGCACAGCCGTTCACTGGTTCACTGCCAGAACCCCCCCAAGAGACAAACGGTCAGGGGACCAATCGACAGCCGTGGTGGGACGCTAGCGCTGTTCGACTCGAAACACGTGATGGTGCTGGGGGCGTCTCTCGGTACGTACTCTCTTATCTGTACAGTTTATCGCCTTGTTTCGGCCCTGGCCGATCTGATGAGCACATGGCACATGGCACGTTGCTGACTCGACGCCTCATGGGTTTGCCTTTGTTGGCTGTGTCTGATGCGAGCATTGCATCACTGGCAGTCACTGAAGAAGGACTATGGATGACTGTGTCTACCTCATGCACGACGTTGAACAAGTTCATGAATGAACATATCTGAATGACTCTGCTTCGCAATTGAGTTTCCAGTGTTCCAGGTTTGCCATCCAGTAGTATTCAAGCAGCATCTTTTCCCTTCACAGCCTGCAACCCTCTCATGGCAACTCTGTACTCGACTGCTCCATCCAGCCCCTGCCCAGTCGCCTGCACATGCGGCGCAAAGACAACCTTCATCCAGCGCCGCCAACTTGTCGATGATGGCAGGCTCCCATGCTCTTCGTCGCCAGCATACTCCTGCATTCCATAAACAGCACGCTTGAATAAGGCTATGCGACAGGCAATCTGCGTCGACCACACCAACCCCAGACTCGGTGTCTTCAGGCTATAGTCGGCTAGAGGATCATCGCCCCATCCGGTAAACCATCTCTGCTGGTGGTCGAACTCAAGAGCAGGCAATGCCAGAGGCCCCGAGTCATCAAGCCTTGGTGGCTCAGGCATGCTGGACCGGAAGGCTTCAGCCATCGAGGACGGCGGCTCAAGCATTTCGGGTGCGGCTGGCGGCCGGCCTTTGCTTCTCGAAGCCAGGGGGCTCTCCTGCGTCATTCTGCCCAGATAACTGCTGTGGGGTGGTGCCATGCGGGATGATCTAGGGACAAGCGGACTCGAGAAGCGGTCGCCGACCTGGTTAGCCACAACAACAGCAAGGTTGTACTTTTGGGCCAGATCTCGTAAGAGAGCCCCCAGCCTTATGAGCTCGTTGGAACGGGCTCCCATGTTGGATCCGTGATTCTTAGTCACGCCACGTTCAAATTCAGCGCGGTAATTCGCGGCGACGGAGTCCAGAACAAGAAGGCCGATGTTGCTGCGTTCGACTTCGACGGGAACCTGGAAGCGGAGTATGTGCTCCTGCGACTCGAGGTCAGCGACACTGCCCACGATGATGGCATCTGTCGTGGGGCGCTCCTCTTCGGAAAGATCCGAAAGCAGAGAATTGGATGCTAGGATCTGCCTGAGTCTAGTGGTGGATAGGGGTGCTTCGGTGGAGATGTAGAGAGCACGTCGGCCCAGGCCATGGGGTGAAGGAAGCTGAACCGCGAGCATAAGAGACAAAAGGAACTGGGTTTTGCCAACGCCGCTCTCGCCCGCGATTTCCGTCACGTAGCCTGTGGGAATGCCACCGCCCAAAGCCCTATCCAGGTCGTCGTCGAGCGTGCTAATAAGCAAAGGTCGATTAGTCAGTTCCTCCAAGGTGCGCTTGAGAGGTGAGGGTGACGCTGCTGGAACCCTCGAGACGCCCAGGTCTCGGTGCAGAGCAGCGACTACTGCATTGGAGAGCCTGGAAATGTCCAACAATGGGAGCTGTGTTCGTTTCCCAATGTCGGCAATGTCCAGGGAGAGTAGGTCAGCGGTCGTCACTCCATGCCTTTCGAGGACCGGCATGAGGTTCGCAAACGGGCCATCGGGGAAGTGCGGCAGGACGCGAAAGAGATCTGTCATGGCACACAGTGGATGTGCGGAAGGAGAGTGTGGGAAGCTGCCAGAAGCATGTTCAGCGAATGACGATTGGGCGAGCGTTCGCGTTCCTGAAAGCCTGGTGGCTGATGTTCCAGAAAATAGTACTATGACCGCCGAAAGGTTTTCGTCTGGCCAGGAAAGAACATGGAAACTGGTCGACGACGAGCTGAGAGGGGAAACCGACAAGGCGTCCAAAGGACGGCAAGTCAAGGGCGTTGTGAGGACGGCAGACTGCGAATCATCTCCAGTTGGCGTTCAGCCAGATCGTGCTACCAGCCCTAGGAGATTGGTAGCTGTGGTGGAACGGTGGCTTCTGCTGACCGCGATGAGGGTGTATAGCTGTCGACGCTGTCTTGGTGATGGCGTTGAGAAGGTGGTGACTGTCGACGCGATGGCGTGAGTCGTGATGTCGTGAAGTGGGGTGCTTCGCTTTCAAGAGTCAGATAGCGCTGCGCTTACATCAGCAGTCCCGCTCTGGCGCCGCTGCCAGGCCACCAGGAACATGAGCAAGCGTCAGGGTCCCTAACGCCCAAAGCGCCCGCCGTCTCCCAGCTCTTCGTGACTTTCTCCACCTCCACCTCTGCCAGTCGATAGCAATCTGTCAGTCAACAGCACATCAACCCAACAGACGCCATCGACAATATCGACGATCATGTCAAATGCACCTCAAATTAGGCTTCTTCAGAGAGGTTCTGCCCACGAGTTCCCCTCTGGTGGTGCCCTCCCACAGACGGCAATGTGGCAGCACCAACGAGCCTTCTGCTATTTGCGTCCTAGTACCGCCCTTTCGTTTCCTCAAACGGCCGAGTTTGATTACCCCAGCGCAGATCTTCCTTCGTACCCACCCTGACCCAAAGGCCTCGTGAGCCAGTGGAGCTTCTTGGCTTCTTGAAGTGTGGCAGCGGAGTATTCTGCTCTGATGTTGCGTTGACCAGGGCTGCCAGACAGGCATCGAGCATCGCGCATTTACTCCGACCACGATTTCTCTACCATTGATGGCTCTAAGAGGAAAGGAGACGAGTTCGGCTTCCTCGACCTAGTCGCTGGTACTTTGAAGGATTATAGCCTGGTATAAAGCTACCGGGTTCTTCAATGTTGCAACTTCCCGTGGCACCACCCACCTACCTCTACCAGTGCCTCCACCAAAAAACGCCGCAGCTACCCGTATCGAGCATGGCTTGCCAACAGTGGAAGGGTCTCCATGCGTTGAACGACGCTGGTGACCAAGCACGAACACGCCGCGACGCCGCTTTGCCTTCCTCCCATGTCCTCGTTGGTCGTGGCCCTGTCAGTCGAAATACCTTGTTCCCTCTTTCGTCCTCGGTCTCCTCTTCACAAAGGCCGCATCAAGAGCGACCGAAGGCCGGCAACGGACACACGTACGCCCTGAACCCTTGGAGAACATGGCACTCGAGTCACGCTTTTCTCTTCGCTTCTCGCTTCTCTTCTCGTCTCAACGCCAATCGCCCATCGCGAAACCCACACAAGAGGATCCAATAGTTCGCCCGGCTTATGGACCATGGACACCGGCTGCTCCCTCCTTCGGCTACTTTTGTTCTCCCACGACCCTTGTCACGCCCTGTGTCGTTCGGTTGGGTGCAGCGCTGTTCTCAGCTCCTGCAAGCCACAATTGTGAGCCTTCGCTGCAATTGGCCCCGACACACCCATGATGCTTGAAGCCATGTCAATCACTCTGTTGGCATTTCACCAACCTGTCCACATTTTGTCTCAATCGGCTTAGCCCAAGGCTGAGTCCCTGCGCTCCAGGGCTCACTACGTGTTGCTTGACCTAGCGGCAGATACATCGGCGGCTCCTTTCTCTCTCTTCTGCTCGACCCCGTGTTCCTCATCGGAGGCGGCATGCATGGGGCTGGACCTTGAGCGGAGGCGGCGTTGGCTTGGATATGGGGCAGCTGAGCTCTTGGTGTTGATGCTCTCTTTTATTGCTTCGAGCGCCCCCCGATCCCGCTCGCCAGGCTCCTCTTTCCTTCTCGGCCTCTGTCTTGTCGTGCAGCCAAGATCGAATTCGCTGTAAGAGCACGTGGATTTCCGAGACATCACGACCGTAGTCTTTCGACGATCATGGGCAAGAGTCTTTTGTACCTGGCCAGCGCCGTGGTGCTCACCTCTGAGGTGTCTGCCGACCTGTACCGCGTTGCCGAAGCCACCACTGTCTTCAACTTTCCTCTCGATCAAGTCAACCCGAGGCCGACACCAGCGCCATATGACTTCCTCAAGGCGCGCCAAGAAACCAGCAGCAGCCAAACCGTCCTGGTCGCTCCCAGCAACACTTGCGGCTACGTTTCCGGTCGACCCGGTGCTGCTTTTACCTGCAATGGCGCCGACGCCAATTGCTTGTTCTTCACAGCCGACAGCACCTTGCGCGGAGCTGTAGCATGCTGCAACTCAGATGTGTGCGGTGCTCGAGTAACATGTTACGACCGTGACGCTATTGCTTCCTCCAGTGTCTGCGACAATGGCTGTCTGGTTGACACTTTCACGCTCAAGTGGTAAGGTGAAACGTACCCGTGTTGCTGCTCATCTTGACTCACATATGCCACAGCACCGAGTCATCAGCCCGCTACTGCAACACTATTTCGTTTTCCTCCAACATCTGGGACTATTTCTGCAACTCGATTGAAATCTCAACACCACAACTCGCTACTACAACGTATCAAGGCCAATCGAACGCAGAAGACTGGTCTCCCCTTGTTCTGACCGGCTCGGGCGAAAGCTCGGTGACGCTTCCTCCCGAATCTGCTCGAACTCCCATCTTTGACGACGAATCGTCACAGTCTCCAGCACCTAGCAGCACCGGCGGCAGTACGGCTGATGGCGGCAGCGGCAGCAGCGGCGGTGGGTCCTCGACACCCGTTGGTGCCATTGTTGGTGGTGTCGTGGGCGGCGTTGCAGCCATCGCCATCGCGGGCTTCCTCATCTGGTTCTGCCTCCGCCGCAAGAAGAAGCAGGAGCAAGCCAACAACCAGCCCATCCCCCCGCCCGTCATGCAACAGGCTCCGGGGCCCCAGAGTTCCTACCCTCCGAGCTCGCCGCCTCCGCAGCACCCCTCGCCGAACAGTCATCAGTCGTACTACGACCCCAAGTTCGGCGGCTATGTTCAGAATTACCAGCAGACTCCCTCTCCCGGAAACGATGCCTACTCCCCCGGCTTCCAACAGCAGCAGCAGCAGCAGGCTCTGTTTGGCCAGCAGCAGACCTCGCCAGGAGGTTACTACCCCGCCGGCGCTGCGGTGCCGGACCGACAGGACACGACGAGCCCGAGCAGCCTGTCCGGCAGCACGGCGCACAGGCTGAGCACCGTTGCGCCAACGAGCCCGGGAAGCGTGCAGGGCGGAGGCGCATATCAGCAGGCCGCTCCGGTGTACGGCCATCAGGGGCAGACGCAGCCCACCATTCACGAGGCGCCAAATGGTGGTGATCACCACCGAGGGCAGATGCACGAGATGGCGTAGCCCGCCTACTTGCACGTCCGCGTACTAGTTGTGGGAATACAGCATCATGTCGGTTGGTTTAGTGGGCTCTCTCCCTCACCCTCCGCCTGCCAGTTATACATATATATGGGTTTGTTTAGCGTCATGGACTGATATTGGAGCTCAAGTCATCAATGTTATGAAATAGAATTTGGCATTATCTTGAAATAGGAATTCCGCTACACCGTGAATACGTAATCTGGCCGTGTCGGGCAGCAGGTTACGGAGCTGGACGTGCACCCCTGGCCGGCAAACTTGCCACTGTGAGAGGAATCCTACGACGCAACTCGTGCCAGTCGGTGCGGCCTGTGCATTTGCAAACTCACGGCACAAACTGTCTTGCCAGCATGGGATACCATCACGCCCAATCAAATGGTCGGGCGACATTCACTCAACTCCCCAGTAAAAGACAGCACCAGCGTAATCGGTATCGTGTGCAACCTATCAACGCCATCCTCCCTTCACAGACGCCTAGCAGCCAAGCAAGCCGAGTCTACGAAGCAAACCGGTTCTACTCGTCACGTCTCCAGCACCAGATCTTGCATCTTTCCCACCTTGCATGGGTTCCCGTCGCCATGTCAGCGAACAGAATCTGCACATCTCTCTGGCCAGGAGCGAGGTTCTAGTAGTCGCTCAGCCGAAGCTTCTTGCCAACATCGCGCCTCCGCGCCTGCACAGCCGCCCGCTCCGACGGCTTCGTCTCCCCGCCATCATACCCCTCACCCCGCGCCTTGAGCGCCTGCAGGAGCATGCCGGCGTCAAAGAACCCATCTGAGAAAAGGGTCAGCATGGTCATCGCGAAAGAGAAGGACCAGGGCAAAAGCTCTAGAGCATGCTGAGGAATGGGGGGCTAAACTTACATCCGCCGAGCTCGTCGTCACTCATGGCCACGCTCTCCTCCGTAGGCGACATGGTTCCCACCGTCGATGACCGCGCGAAAGAGGGTTTCAGCGCGTCAAGGCCCGTGATGATCCGGCCGCGCGACTTCATCCTGTGCGTCGCGGGAGGCTTGGGCCGTTCCGTGTCCTCGAGCTCCCGTGCGCGGGTCTGCTTGGCGCCGCCGGAGCTGGGTCCTGTGCCGCGCCGCGTCGTGATGCGGAGCACCCTGCGCATTTCGAGGAGATAGCTCTCTAGAGTGTCCACGAATCGCTTGGTCTGTCGGTGCTTGCTCGAGATACAGATGCTGATGCCCTCGTCTTTGATAATGTAACCGATGCCGAAGCCGTCACCAGACGTGGGACCAAAGCCAAAGTGGCGCAGCGAGGGGTTGCCGCAGTTCGAAGTCGAGAGTATCGTGTTATTGAGCTTGTCCCAGCCCGGATCAGCAAAGAGAAGGGGCAAGGGGTTCAAGTCGCGGCTGCGCGAGTTGGTGCTGTCGCCGCGCTGGCGGCGCCCAGGGAAGGGCGAGATGTCATTGGCGTCTTGCTGAGAGAGCACCGAGTCGCGGCCCGGGCTACCAACGGCCGAACCGGGATCGCGCTCGGAGTAGCCATCGATCGACGAGTTGTAGCCATTCGAGCTGAGACCGCCCCCCATTTCCTCATCCACAAGCTTCTGCCAGACGCAGAAGAGAGCATAGAGGTGACGATCACAGCCTTGGGCTTTGGCGCACTCACGCGTGTTGGCCGTGTGCTTCTGACACGCCTTGCGCAGAGCCTCAACCTTTTGCTCGGCGGGGTTGTCGGCCCAGAAGGTTTGAACAAAGTTGATCGACTCGGCCGAGACGCTGCGGATGGCTTCTGTGCGGCCGTGAAGGAACGTCTTGGTCATCGCAGGTTCATACGTGCATTCGACACGGCCATAGAGACCATAGTAGGCTGCCTGGAAGGCCATTTGAACAAACGCGTCGGGGGAGAATCCGGTGGAAGTAATGAAGTTCTTGCCGTAGTGCTTGAAGTCAAGAGTGCGGAATTCATTGTGG